TTAACTTTAGAAGTGATCGGGGTAGATTAGACAACATCAACTTACCATGCGTTAAATACACATCACAATATTAGTATATATGATTTACAAGGTTACAACCTTAGAAACGAATAGAGTTTACTGTAAGTTAAGTACAGATGTCTAGGTAATTATTTAATTCTGTTAACAGTGAGATTTGAACTCTAGATTTCTTGTATAGCAGTCTGACAATCTATCTACTACACTAGATCACTGGACTTTTGATTATATATTGATAATCCCTACTGTTTGTAATTATATGAAGAGTATATAACAAGTTACATGTACAACTTTAGTCATTATCTATTTTAAGTAGTTTGCTGTACAGACATTAGGCTACTCACTTGGTTCTATACTATACTGCTATACCTATAACCTGCCTATGAGTTATCTATTTAAATACTCTGTTTATTAACTCATACGGATCTAATCTAATGTCACTGCAATATATAACAGTTTAAGCTAGCTAGCTCATTACAGATCTATTTATTCAGAATGGCTTAGGTCTTCTTAGAATACATTATACTAGATACATTGCTAATATTGTAGAGCTAATTAACCTTGAAACAAACCTATTAGAGCAGTTCATACTCATTTTACAGATTCACCTAGTTTAGATCCTTGTAGATATTTGTACAACTCTAGATTTCACTGTGTTCCTTCACTAGTCAGTCAACCTAATCTTTTTTTAGTATCTAGCTAGTTCTAGTTACCTTTCACCCAGAGACCTTAAAACCTTCTACCTTTATTATACTAAGTTTTCTTCTCAGATTAAACTTTAGCTGATGTAGTCCTGTTGGAAGACTATACTATTTCACTAACTTAGAATTTTTACTATACAGATCTTCTGCTCATATATCCTATCAAAATTTATTCATATAATATTACACTATACTTTTAAGTTCTAATCAATTTGGTATAACTCAATTTACAAGGATATGCCCTTAGAAATAGATAGGATTTACTGAGAAAAAAGAATTTTAAAGAAATTAAAAAACAAAATTACAAATTATATTAAAAAAAAAACTATGAATAATTAAAATTTAAAAATAAATAAGCTTTCTTAATATAGACTAGTATTAGCTTTCTGATAATTAAGATTAGAAAAATATATTTAAATATATTTTTAGTTTTTTTTTAAAAAAAAATATTACTATAACAAATTGTTTTTTTTTTTAATATTAAGGTAAGGTTACTATAACAAATTGTATTTAAACACAAAATAAATAGCTAAATAGGTTTAAAATTGTAACAAAAAGAATAAGTTTTATATATTAGTCTTAATATCAATATAATATATTTTTTTAATAAAATAAAAAGCAAGATTATTTAGTTAAAAAAAATAAATAAATAAATTGTTTATATTCAAGATTTTATAGTATATAAATAAATAAAAATAGTAAAAAATTAATTTAATAAATATAATAAATAAAATTTTTATATTTTAATATTATTAGACTTTACTAAACTTTTAATTTATTAGCAAAAAAAATACTAATTAAAAAAGTTTAATAACAATATATATTAAAACCTAATAGATTAAATTATTAATTTAATACTTTATAATACAAGTTTGAGTTTTAATTATATATAATTTTACTTTATAAATAATAATTAAAAATTAAATTATAAAAGTATACATGCAAATATCGAGTAATTAGAATTGCTTTTTAAAATATTTTACAAAATAAACATGATAATATAATATCAAAAGATTAATTTATATTAAGCTAAAGATATTAACGGTTACAAATTAATTACAAATTAATTACTAGATTTAAAGCCAATTTTTTCTTTTCAATTATAAATATTTGAAAATAGTTAAAAAAATCTTTTAGATTTTTTTTAATTAGATAAATATATATATATTTTATATAATAAGTTTAATCGAATAAAATTTTAATAAACACAAAACACAAATATATTATATATATATATAACTAACATATTGTTTTATCAAAATCATAATAAAATATTAAAGCATCTATTAATTTATCAGAACCTTTTAATCTTCCAGCTTTAGGTACTTTACCAATTTCTTTAAAACCAAGAGATCTCCAAAGTTTTATAGAAGCAAAATTATTTTCAAATACTAAATTAAAAATACAAGATTTATAATTTAAAATTGGTGCAAATAAAAGAAATGATTCTGCCATTATTTTACCAACACCTAAATTTCTAAATTTTAATGGAACTACAAAACCGGCATTACATATCTATTATATATATATATATATCATATAATTTTATTATTAAAAAGTGTAATAAAAAAAAAAAATCTTTTTTTTTTTTAAAAAAAAAAGTAACTTACATGACTACATCGCCCAGGATAATTAGGTTTTATATAAAACATACCCAACACTTTATCATCCCACGTTTCATCATCTTTTAAAGCAATGAATGTATTATGACTTAAAAAAAGATTAATAAAACTATTATAATCAAGAATGAATTCTTGAGGATATGTGGTTCCTTCTTCAATAACGTCAT